GCCCTGCTTAGTGCCAGCCCTGTCACCAGCACCAACAAGCCACCAAAAGTCACCTCTCACCATGGGAGGAGGCAGGTAGGAGGACAGCAGGAAGGCAGCCCATCTCCCTGTTGGCTGTGGGAAGAAAGAGGGATAGAGGGGCTGGTTTGCTAGCTGCCGAGTTTCCCAAGAAATCATCGCAGCAGGAGTCCGGATGAAGCAGAGAGCCATCTCTGCCTGGGTAAAGCCAAGAACTCTTGTAAACTGGGCCCCATCTCAGAGCAGCACAGCTCACGTGGGACTGCAGGCCCCAGACTGGGCAGACATCTCTCGTACTAGAGGATTCCAGCCCTGGTTTGCTGCCTGAAAGCCATATAAAATAACCAGAGCAGACGGCTCAGGGATTGCCCAGGAACACCCAGCTTTGCAAACCCAAGAAGCCTGCCCACACCACAGGAAAATTAACTGCTGATAAAAGTAGGAGTTCACCTCTGTTTGATTTTTTTTTTCCTTCCCACACTGTTCTGCAGCTGGTACTAGTTGTTACCCCCACCACAGAGCTTGCTGCACCTCAACAATACTCTTACTCATTAAGTTTGCTTTCTCAGCAAGTCTAGAACATCTAGTCCTCCAGAAAAAACACAGGTGGGTAACACTGTGTTCTGCTGTGTCTGCAGCCCCTGGCCCAGCAAATTCTCATACTTTTATTGTACTTTTCTCCCTGAAAGGTCCTAAGCTGCTTAGCAGAAAAATGATCTGGTTTCCAGGGAGGGACAATGTCACCTACTTCTGGAGTGAGCTGCAAACAGCTGCTTGCTGAAACACTGCAGCAGTTTAGGGAGGAAATGAAGATCTGTATCACCTGTCCCTGGCACTGCATGCAATGAGGAGGACACATGAGGACATTTCCCACACTGGTTATACTCTAGAGAGAAGGGAAATGCCAGAGAGAGGGGGGCACAGGAGCCACAGCATCTTACTGAGCAGGGAACAAGATGCAGAAAGTTGCCCCTAGAAGTTCTACACCAGTGTGAAGGGAAAGCAGAGAGGACAGCAAGGAAATCAGAGGGCTGATAAGGATCTGTGGCTGTGAGGCAGGTGTGTGCTAGGGAGCAGATCATGCACAAGCAGAGATGCAGGGCTGTTGCTGCATTTTGTTTGTTTCCCTTTACCTGGCTGACATGTCTTTTCATGTCAAAAGCTAGATCAAAGAGAGGGATGTAAATAGCTGAAACAGGCTTCCTTGTGGGAACAGGGCTGAGTGCCACAGTCAGCCTCTGAGCTGGATCCCTCCCTGGGAGCAGCATGAGGAGCTGTCACCCTCCATTAGCCAAACAGCCAGGGAAGAAAGCGTGGGCTGGAGGGTGCCCTGGGCATTCAGGAGCCAAACCACACAGCAAGGATAGGAAGAGTAACTCTCCCCTGCAACCATCTCTTCCCTAGGCCACTGCCAACGCTGATGGGACACACCAGGGCCGTGAGAACAAGTGCTTTGGCTTCATCGTGTCAGAAGCCCCGCAGAGTCCAACAATAGCTGCACTTGGTCCCCAATCTTTCTCTTTTTTAAACTCTCCCTCTGCAGAGTCATGGTATCCACTGAGAAAGAGGGACTTAACACTTCCTTTTAATCTCTGCACAGCTCTTATTCGGGGGGGAGTGAAATAACCCTCACTGACATCATCTGAAGCTGAGGGCGCAGAGCACCTTTGTTAGGAAAGGCCCCTGCAATCCTCCAGTAGCCATTTCAACACGAGGGGACCCCATGCTGCAGGCTCAGGGCAAGGAAGCCAGGTTAGAAAACCACAGACTGCATCAGAGAAGAGGGAAGAGCAAAACAGCCTGGGAGACCAATGCTCTCCTCGTATGCTGGAGAGATCATCAAGGCCCTGGCCTACTCTTGTCCCATGGACGGCCACCAGCAGTGGCTTTGCCTTTGTGGGTGTTGAAATAGTTGATGGCTTTACTCCTCATCTGTGCTCTTTTGGACAAGAGGGCCCACTGTTTTCCAATGTCCCTCAGTTGTCCCTCTGCTGAAATCCCACATTTGGAAGAGGGGCTCTGTCACTGCTGTCTTGTTCATTCACCTTCCAAGAAAAAGGTCCCCAGCATTTTTCTTCCTGCCCTTTTCAAGGCAGGAAATACTACTACATGGTATCCTTCACATCTGCACAGTTAACCAACAGCAGCACCACATCCCTTGACATCCTCTCTCTATTTTTCTCAAGAAGCTGCATTGCACAAAGGTCTTGGGCCGAGACGGAGCAGCGCTCACGCCCTCAAAGCCCGGGGTCTCCCCTGGCTATCCCCCCTTTGCCCTCCAGTCCCAGCAGAGATTAGGACAGCCTGGAGCCTGTTCTGAACTGGGCCAGCTAGTAACAGCTCCCACGGGGCTGGTCAGAGCAAAGCGTGCCATGCTCTGCTCCTTTCCCATGCCCCCACAGCAGGGGTTGCTGGGGCAAGGAAGAAAAGTGGCAACATTGTTCTGATCCCACCATGGGGCTTCCCCAGCCTATGCTGCCGGTTTTATTTGATTGTGAACTTTAACTCTGAAAGCCCCAATCCCTGCTCTGCACAGGGAGCTCAAATCTGGGTTGTATGTTCAATAATCAAGAGCAGGTCAAAGACACTGGCATGTAACATTACATTTCAGGGGGGTGAAGGCGTATAGATTTTTTGCAGAACCTCAAATCAAGTGCCCTACACTGTTAGGGGGGGACATTTGCCACAAACAAAGCAGATGAAGAAACAAATCACAGGTAGAGAAGGGATTGCGGACTAAAGGATTTAAAAAAAGGGGACTACAGCAGGAACACGAGCCTGAGAGTGGGCAGGAGGGAGCCAAAGCTAGATGGCACAAGAGATTCCTGAAGTCCCTGGGAAGCAGCTAACACGACCAAAAGGGCTGCTGCCCTTCCCCCTTTTCCTGTTTCTGCTACTCTCGCTAATTCTTTTACCACCACCAAACCTAAACCACAGCAGTGCTCTTCCCTCCTACACAGCGCTCAGCAGTGGTTTTCAGAGCCATGGAGTCAGCTTCGCAGCTTCCTGGGAGAGGTGGTACCACTGCGAAATGCTGTGCCAGTCTGGAAAGCAGCAGCCCCGACACTCCCCGCATCCTTTTATGAGCCCCATACCTGCCACCAACAGGGAGCTCTACCGGCAAAAAATATTTTTTTACTTCTTGTCGCATCTCCCTCATCCATCAGGCCTGGGCCCTGCAGGTGGGTGTAATCGAGAAACCACAGGCCAGAGTTAAGTAGTTATTAGTATTTTAGGGGGAAAGGAAGGTTTGAACAAGTGGGAGCTGGGGTTTGGCATAGTAACAGAAGCAACCGACTCCTCTGGCTACTGTAAATCAGACAGGGCCTCACTGATGAAGCCTTTTTTAAGGTCTTACCTGGCTCCTGAGGGGCAGCTCTGTCACCCTACACGACACACGGCCCTTTTCAAGGCGCCTCCCA